ATCTCTGCTTAATAACTGCCTGCTTGTAACTCAATTACTCTAACAGGAATCAGCCCCTCCGTCTGCAGCAGAGAACGTTCCTCAAAGGCCAAATGCACCTCCCCAAAACCCATGTGGGATCTGAAAACCCGACTAACGCTAGAAGTTTGTGAGACCATTTTTCTTGGGGCCTGAGCGCCCTGTGTCGTGTCTGGGGGCTCCTCTCGGCGATGGGAGGCTGCCGTCAGTGCGATGCTGGAGGGGACCGGGGGCCCCGCGGCCGGACCGGCGCTGCCGAAACGCTCCCGCCGCGAAGCCGCCGCTCTGCTTGGGATGGTTGGAGAGCCCCGGAGGGAAAGCAGTACTCCTGACCCACGGGCAAGGGACTCCCGGAGAAAACCTCCCTCCCAAAGGGATGCTCTAGCAATAGTGGGGGCGCTGACACCTCTCCCGAACTTCAGCCCCGCGCCCCGGCAGAAACCACCGCCCGCCGGGGCCGCGCACACTCGACGATGCTCGGCCGGTCCCGGGGCGGCAGCCACCGGTGTCCCGGCGCGGTAGCGGCGAGCTCCCCTCGTCCAGTCGCCCCAGCCACTCACCCCACAGCAGCAGGACGGGAAGCTGCCGCCGGCGGCTGCCCTGCGCCTCCATCCCGGCGAGGGGCCGCGAGGGACAAAGCCCGCATGGGGCGGCCGGTCCGCAGCCGCGCAGGGACCAAGCCCACCTCAGCTCCTTCCCCGAGGAGGCTCCTCTTCATGCCCCAGCGTCCAGCCCCGGGCGGGAGCGGGGGCGGAGGGGAGCAGCTCTCCCGCCTCCGGGTGCTCCCAGCGCCGGGGGGGCAGACCCGGCGGCCGGGCGGGGCGCGGGAGGCTGGAGAGTGTGCACGTGTGAGTGTTGTGTTTGCGTATGCATGCACACAGGGAGGGCCGTGCCTCCAGCTCCTCCAAAAGCCACGGCAAGGATGCCGCTCCCAATCCACCGATCTGGATGGGTGTTTGGGGGGGTAGGCACCTACCCCGCGCGCGGGAGAGGTTCTGGTCCTAAGTGTCCAAGGGGTTCAGTGACTCCTCACTTCCTGCCGTGGGAGCCACAGCAGCCTCTCCCCTCCTGTTACAACATCCTGGCGGTGGGGTTGAAGGCATGAGGGGCTGAAAGGACACCTGTGTTAGTCCACCTGCAGCCCTTTCAGTTTGGCTTGCACGGCACTGACATGTTAGCATGCTCAATATTTACAGCTGAACGTGGGCAGCGAGATGGTCTGACTCCACACAGACTCAGAGCAGCTTGGAGCTCTAAGAAGATGCTTAATGTGTTTTTTTATTGCCATTTCATCTTTGCATGGCTCTTTTCAGAGAATGGTTTAGCTCCTGATTTTCATCAATATTTAAAGTCTGTGTTCCTGGAGCTCTCTCTCTAGGCAATTAGCATCTCCATCAAGAAACACCAGACTGAGAGGCTGCTAAAGAAGGCTTTTCTTAGCTAAAAATAATTGTACTGCTCAGTAATAAAGAGCCAGAGTGTTTTTCTAGGTACATGGACACTCCACCAGTAACTGCCTTTCAGCAGAACATTAAGTCACTGCCATTATTAAAGGTCAAATGTACCATAAAACTTCAAATTTCAAGAGATTTTCAAGCCATACACAAGAACAGAGGGTATTTTTATGTATCAGTCAGGTTGTTCCCATTGATTTTGTATGCTTGAATAGCACAGTGTTTCCAAACACCCAGGTCAGAATTATGCATTGCATGTGCCTTCATAAACAAACTATTCAATACACAACCTTTGTCTGATTTATGCTGTTATCTAGGCTGAAGGAAATGGAAAACTTTGGAAACTACAAGTGTGTTAGTTAGAAGGAACCTCCCATCATCTGTGTGCTACTTTTTCCGCTTAGCTGGAAGCAAATCTTGTAAAATACCATAAATAAACCATAGCTCAGGGAGATCATCCTTCAGCGGAGGGATTGCCATTTCTGCTTTGTAAGGAGTGTTTGCAAGCTACCCCCACCAGAAGGAACTCCAGGAAAGTGACAAGCATGAAGGTACATACACCATAGTCTTGTTATACCATCTATAGCATCCTTCCTAACAGTAAGATTTTAATTTCTGTCATAAATTCTGTTACAGGCAAATCTAAAGTTACAATTAGTATTTTCAATAATTTAGACTGATCTTCAGGAGGGTTAGCATGTATTGTGCTTTATACACATTATTATACATTAAAATATTTACAGTATATTATGCAGCATACACCATACAGGCAATATTTTTTTGTAACATACATGGAGATGATGTTGACAGTTTTCTTCTACATCTTTCATATTCATTTTCTTCACCTGTTTCAGATGAGAAACTGGCAAATTTTAAAAGGGAATGTTACTTTTTCCAGCTCAAGATTCCACAAGCACTTCCCATTTTGTGCTTGCAGCACGTAGTTTGAAGGTGCTTTTTAAATTAGTCCACTTAACTATAAATTTTATCTATAAACTTACCTATAAATTTATAGGTAAGTGGCCTAATTCAGCATGTTGCATTGGATGGCAAGCCAACTATGCTAGATGATATCTTCAGCAAAGTGGTCTACAGTGAGCAGTCTGATTCACAGGTGTATTTGAACAAAACTCTCACAGCATTAGAACTGTCAGCAATGTGGTTCAAAACTCAACAGGAGTTGGTGCCCACTCCTCCCTACTCCCCCCTACCATTGAAGTAATTCAAATAGATGCACTTCAGAATGATCATGAACCTTTTTGTTCTGCAAATCTGCCTTGGTAACATCATGGAGCTACACCAGAAGTAGAAATCCAATTCACTTTCAAATAAGTGATGTTGTAAATGCCATTTGCTGTACAAAACTCTGAATCCCATCCCTGAACAACACACACTAACAGTGACCTCAAAACCATGGTCTGCTGTAATTTCCGGACATACGACCTCCAGAGATCACACTAACTCCTTTTCAGGTACCCTGAAGACACTGCTGCAATCACATTGCTTCAGAAATTGTTCTGAAATGCTTAAATCTGCTAATTAGCCACTGACTAAAAGAAAATATAGCAATAGACATGTTTGTAGTTGTTTCAGTATGGGAAGGTTCATGAGGAGTATGAGGTGAGAAGAGATGGAAGAAGTCAAGCCATCCAGGAAAGAGATTAGTGCAAGTGCTACGGTGTTCAGGGTGGTGCAAGATAAGGCGATAAAGTTTCCTGCTCCAGAGGTTAAACTGATCCAACAGAAACTAAAAAATAAAAAAATAATAAAATAAATTAGGAAAAAAACAAAGATGACACTATGGAAAGCAACATTGCCTTTCCTTGTCACCTCAAGTGTTGGCCCAAAGAGAGCAGCTGCTTGCCTGCATGGAGAAACTGCCCAGTGTTGGATGGAAAGTTTTCTTCATCTCTTCCTAGTACAGCAATTTTGTAGAAAAGGTACATTACGGTTTTAAGATGATGTTTTAATGGGATTGCTTGCTGGACTTAGGTTTGAAAAAGTAGGTTCAGTTCATCTGCGGTTTTAAGCTAAAGTAGGTCATCTTTCCCATTCAGTGCTCCTAGGAGTATCTCTTTCCTGCTCCCGAAAAAAAAAAGGCGGGGGGGGGGAGGAGGGGATCTGCAGGTCATTAAAATAATTCCTCTCTTTTTACCTTCAATATAAGAAGTGTAAAAACACGCTAAAAAACCTCAAAACCATAGTTAAAAAATAGCTTCTTACTGTGATTCAAAGGCCACACTGTGGTATATTGACTGCACATAACAGCCAAATTGATGTAAAATCAATCAAATTTGATGAGCTGAAACCCTTTATGCCTTTATTACCTGAATTGCAGGCAGAGAAAAAAGGACATTTTTGTATGTAAAGACCTTGGGCTTTTTTACATAAGAGCAGACAAGGAAGCTCACGAATATCTTGCCAGCCTTCTAAAATTTAATTTTTTAAGCCAAGTGTGAATGTGCTCTGTGATTTCAGCAGGGTTTCCATGTTCAGAGCAAAGCATCTAAGCAGTGTGCACATGTGCCAAAGTGCACTCTATTTCAGAGGTGCCAAGCTGTAAGTATTTATCACCTCTAAGACCATTTTATTTTACATACCTAGCCATGACATGACAGCCTTCCCAGGAGCACAGCATGTGGGCTTTGTTTGAAGGAAGTAGAATATTCAATTACTTTGTTTCCATACTGGTTTCTAGTACGGCAAATTGTCTTCATTAAAAAAAAAAAAATCAAGGTACTTCTATATCCTGCACCATCAACACCAATACCTACAACTAATCCAAATTATTCCACAAGTGTCACGAAGCACATCAAGGGAAACCAGACAGATTTTATGGGATGATAGGAAACACCATCTTCCCTCTCTCTTGAGGGAAGCACCCCAGTCAAGGGTCCTCCACCAAGATGCCTGCCCCTTGTTTTAGAGCCAGCAGTGCAAAAGGCTCTCATTAAAGGACCCAAGCAAGAATCTCTAGGAACTGGGATGTCTTGCTGATTCCTATCTGTTGTTCTCATACCGAAAGAGTATCCCAAGGCCACTGGTGACTATATGTCATGCACGTCATAATCTTCTCTTCCTGTTGTGCACAGCTATTCTTTTTCCACACCAGCCAAAGCTTTGGTGTAACAGAAAACCTTTGTAATTTGGCCCAGGGATTGGAAACAAATCACGCCTTCATTTTAAATGTAAACATTAGCAAAATGCACACAATGCTCTATTCTTTCTAGACTAAATAAAGCCAAAACTAATTTATGAGTTTTTAAACACTTCACTGTCAGTTATGTTCTAGAGGCCTTGACTTTTTATTCCAAAACGAATTTAGTTTTTCATGACAGGCTGGCTGAGCAGTTTGGAAAATGCCAGCAAGGAATATACAGATTGTCTCCCATACATAGTTGTGTCTCTAAGAAATAACTCAGCTTTGAAAGTCAGGGAGAAAGGTACAAAAAGAGAGATGGAAACACACATCTTTATTTGTTTCATTGTAGAAATAATAACACTGTTTAAGTTATATTCATACAGAATCTTACAGAGTTGAAGTCTGAGATATTATAGGATTGTGTTACCAGTAGTCTTACAGCCACCTGAAGGATCATTTTATAACCACTGGAATTCAGCTGACTCCACAGAGATTGGTGAGACAGCAACATAAACCCACCTACAACAGAAAGCAGCAAAGCCTATTTGAATTCAGTCTGAGCCCAGGACTTCTGAATCCACATGTAGGTTCTGATCAGTTCAGTTATGAACCAGCATCTCCTTACCATGAAAACAGAATAATGGTCCTTCCCAGATGCATGAAAGACTGGCTTTAGGGCTGAGCAAGACAGGTCCTAGGACACTTCTTAAATGAGAAATCCCATAAATTTCCATTCCGTGGAAAAATGCAGCACTATATAAGATGGAAAATATTACCATAGTAAATAAAATGTTATTTGGTGGCACAAAATGAGTGCAATGCATAACATTTCTAATTATCCAGTCCTAATTTCTAGTATAGTTGTCCTTCTAAAGTAAAATAGAAAATAATAAAAAAAAAACCAAACCCACAACATTTTAATTAAGGCTGAGTTCAACTCACTGTTGCATTCACACAGTTAGATTTCTACCATAATAAATCATTCTATTTTAATCTTGTCATCTTTACAGCCCCAAGGCAACCCCAGTTCATGCACAGACCACTTACACCTCTTTCACAGACACATTTCACAGCATGTGCTACAAATCACGTAAATTGTGAAAGCAGGCACAAATATTGCCTTGCAGTGTTTTACTTGGCCAATTTCCCTTGGAGTGCCATGGCACAGAGCCCCAGCTTCCATTACTCAAGGAGAAGACCTAGAGAGCTCTCCCCAGTGTCATGCATTCACTTTACTAGTACTACTTCCCTTTCCCCTGACTGAAACAAAATGCACAGTAAATATGAGACATTTGCAGAAAACTCATTGCCAGTGTGCTTAAAGCACATCACTGATTGTCACTGCCATTGAAAAAGGGGAAGGGAGGAAAGAAAGGTGTCAGAAAACACCTTTGCTTGTTTT